GGAGTTCGAGGTTCACAGGCAGATAGTTACAACGAGACATGGTGAGTGCAATGATAAACTATTATAGGAGCATTGAACCTGACCAAGGACGAAACTTTGGCTGAGTGTTAAGGGATGAGTACTCATTAGCCAGGGAAGGTGGGGTGGGGGAAGGGAGACCAAGGGACAGTGGTATCCCAAGGAGAGGGGACTGCATGAGGAGACCAAAAGTCACCAAGTATATGCTGGGAACACATGGTTGTTTGGAGTTGCTGGAATTTAAGGCAAGGAGTGATGAGAGATGAGGCCAGAGCCACTACAGCTCCAGGGGGTGTCATCATACTGTCATCAGTGGGAATGGAGCTCCTGCTGTGCACAATTTTTGTGGCCTTAGACCATGGCCCTGAATGGAGCCCAGAGGCAGGTAAGGATGGAACTTGGTGGGCTTTACAATTTGATAAGGGCCGAAGAACTTGAACTTTAGCCTCATGCTACCACCAGCTCACTGGGCCACCACCAAGCCGTGTCCTTCCAAGCATCTACACTTTGGTCCTTCCCTCCCACTTACGTCACAGGCTGTCAGAACTGGAAGACACCTCAAATGCCATCAAGGAAGATCCCCTCCTTTAACAAATAACCACATGGAAGCCCAGAAAAGGCATTGGTTTGGCAGAGGTTACACAGTGAGTCAGGCAAAATCTGTCACGTCTGTTCTTCCCTCAGACTCAGCTCCCTGTTGGCTAAGAATGGGCAGTATCCCCAACATCCACTCACTCCCCAACTTCTCTTGGTATTTCCTTCCAGGCTTTGTGGTGTGGCCAAGGCAAATTTACCTAATCCTCTGCCCAAAGCTCGGTTTGTGTTTGGTGGGGGTGGGTCCTGGCGGTTGAACAATGAGGCCCGAGGAGAGATTTGTCAGGGAGCTGCAGGAAATGCACTTCTTCACTCTCCTGAGGACACTTCTAGAAGTGCCCTCACTCTCCCTGGAAGTGGGGTTGGGGCTGCACACAGCGACAGGGTAGAAACTCTCAAAGGAAGTTTGGGAGAAGGCGGCCCTTGGGAGACAGACGCGAGTATAAGGGAGGAGAGGCCCCAGCTTAACATCCTGCCTCACCCCTCTGGGAAAGAATGTCAGATACACTTGTACAGCCTGGTGTGTGGTCTTGGGGAGACCACAGAGAAGGGACAGTAAACAGAAGGGAGTCGTGTCCTGTTGCCGTCCTCCTGGTCATGCCCACAGCGGGCAGGGGGCAGGGAGGGCAGCATATGTGGACTTTCAGGCAATGATCAGGTGCAGCGGCTCCCCGTGATGCTAGGAGCGAGGCCTGGAAGCCCTTGAGGAATGTGCTGCAGGAGGACTGGGTCACACACATATCACTTCTGTGTGCAACCACTGGCAGGTGTTCACTCTACCCCTTCCCCTCCCTTGATGTCGGGCTGTCCTGTGACTTGTTTGGGCCACTGGGAGACGAGTGTAACACTAGCAGAAGCTTTAAATGTGCTGGTGTGGTAGGGCTTCACCTGGGTGTCGACTAGTCCAGAATGCAGAGAAGTGTGGAGCAGAGGTGAACAGGACCCACAGTCTGAAGCAGAGCCGCCCCAGCTGACCTGCAGGCCTTTGAATAAGAAACAAATGGGATTGCCATCTGAGACTTTTGGGTTGTTTGTTATGAAGCAAGGTCAAGAGCAAATCAGAGAATACTAGTTCATTTGTGAATGATAGAAATTACATACAAATAGTGACTTAAATCAAAAAGGTTTTATTCTCTCACATAAAAAGTCCAGAGGTAGGCCAGTCAGGGAGTCACCCAGACCCAAGATCCTTCCGACTTTCTGATCGATCCTTTCCAAAGTGTGGTCCTCATCTTCGTGGTCCAGAGTGGGGTAGATGCTCAAGATCCAGCTATCATGTCCACATTCCAGCCAGCAGGAAGGAGGAAGGGGGGAGAGAGAAGAGCACACCCCATCCCTTTAAGGAGACTTCTTAGAAGTTTCACACCAGAAGTAATTTGCAAAATATTTAACAGCATGGATTTCAGTTAATCAGAATGGATGCCAGATGTAAACAACAGGTACATTTGTGCCTGTGCATATGGGTTAAATATCAACCCTGATCATACCTTTTTACTTACAAATCTCATTGGCCAGATCTTAGTCGCATGACCCCAACTAGCTGCAAGGAAGGCTGGGAAATAGAGTCTTTATTCCAAACAGCTCTGGGCCCAAATACAAATTAGAGACTCCACTGCCCACTGAAGAGAGGACATGGACAGTGGGACAGCTAACATCTCTGCCACTCTGTGGAAAGCACTTAGCAGAGCTCTTGGTACAGGTCCACAAGCCCTTTCCACAATTTGAAAAAGAATCTTCCAAATTTTTTCTAAAAACAAGTCTTTTTCATAAATCGTTAGTTGGCAAAATTTGACCTGAAGTGTCTATTTATCCCACCTATTAGGAATATTCATACATTTGCTGATCCCTCTAGGATATTTACGTGTGTGTGACACACACACATACACACACACCGTACAGTATTACCTATAAAATCTAAAAAAGTTTGAATTTGAAACACCTTTGGCCTCGGGATTTTGGGTAAATAGAGTGATCTTACATCCATCCCAGTTTGCTTGGAACACTGGTTTAAACTTGCGGTCCTGGTGAAATTATTAATAGCTCTCCCACCTTTTACTTTCAGAATTGCCCAGTTTGGGTGATAAATTACGTGATCAACCTGTGGATAAGAGATTGTGAACCTATACAATCTAACCTCTAAATAAATGGCGGCAGTTCCTACTGCTCGCAGGGAGAGCCCCCGCAGTGCCTATTTATGAATAGAAATATGCTAAAATGTTTTTTCAAGTTCCTCATAGCCAAGCAGTACCCTCCTATCCATTTGGCTCCATTCTTCATGAATTGGGTTCTAGGATAGTGTGGCAGCTGGGTTCCCAACCAGCTGCCTTTCAGTGAGCACTAAATCAAGGCGGTTTTACTGAGTCAGAAAAATGACTAGCACATTCTGAACCCTGACAGTCCTTTCTTTCTTCATTTCTGGTGAATTTAAAAATAGGTCTGGAGATGGCCCTTTGCAGCAGAATTCCACAGGCATGATATCTCCTTCCACAGTAGAGATGTAAGGAAAACAGCTGACTGCAGAGGCCTTTTCTTGATTTTATTAATTATCTTCCAAGATCTCAACTCCTACGTGACAGGTGCCGGAGTTCGTCTGAGCAGGGCCAGCCCTGGGCAATACTGTTGTCCTCTTCCTGCTTCGTTCCCTCAGCATCCCTGCTCCACTTACCCTCTCGGCTTTCCCGCTGCGAGGCACAGCCTTAGTGCATCCCAAACCTGGCTCATCTTCACTCGAATCTGGAGTGTGTGTGAAAACACAGATTGCTGAGTCCCGCCCTGGGATGATGATTAGGAGTCTGGGTTCAGGCCCAGGAATCTGTATTTTTAACTCTTCCCTTGGCGATTCTGAAGAGCAGCCCAGTTTGACAAACACTAGCATAGCGCCATGAGCAAAGACTTTGGAAGCAGACAAAGCTGAGATCAAATTTAATTTCTGCCACTGTGGCCAGGGGCCGTTACTAAGCTTCTCTGAGTCTCAATTTGCCCATCTGTACGATGTGAAACAAATAAAATAATGTATTTTAAATTAAAATTTTTTCTCAGATCAAAATTCTTTATTCTTCTTCTCAAATCTAAAATCAGATAGTCTCCAGGCAGTTCATTAACCCAGGGGGAGAATCAAGGATAAGAACCACGTTGCTAAAAAGAACAAGCCCATACAAGCCTCCACCCTATCCTATCCTCCACTCTACTTGCTCCACCCCCATCACATCTGGGAGAGCAAAGGGCAGAGGTCATGACCTCAAGGCTCTCCAGCAGCTAGCTGAGGCCTGATACTGGGGCCCCGTATGAGTTGAGGGAATTCAGGGTGGATGAAGCCCTGACTGGCAGGCAGAAGATCCTGAGGTCTGTCAGTGGGCCATAGGTTCAGGGACACGAGGTGTCCCAGGGGTCTGAGTGAGGGTTGGTGGCCAGCTGCTGCTGTACCAGGAATGACTGGGCATGGGTGGGCACTTGTTGTACCCCAGCTCACTGCTACAGGGCTATGCTTATATTGAACCAGGCACTAATGATCTTTAAGATCCTAGAACTGTAATGGGCACATGATAAAAACTCAATAAATTTTATCAGTTCCACCAAGACCTGCATTACAATAAGGTAGAATTGACTAATAGGACAGTTGTGGGTTACTTTTCCAAAGAGATCATCATTTTAATGGGGAAAGACAGAGTGTTAAGACTAAGAATACTTCTCTAGCATAGACCATCAGTGGAAACGTTTGGAGGGAACAGGAGAGGTCTTCCAGCCCCTACAAACTATGCTTGCAGAATTTCTTATCTCAATAGAAAATTTAAAAACCCTTCACTCCTCCCTTATCCCTCCTTGCAATAATCCTTTGCCCACCCCCCCCATCTTTTAAAACTCAGATTGGACTGAGTCTGTCGTGCCAAAACTATGGGTTAATCATAGTTTACATGTGGTAGACTGACAGCCTGTGGAGGAGAGGCTGATTGGTTCGGTCTGTTTCTTTTTGCTGTGATCATAATTTGGTCCTTATATGATATTGACTCAACTGTCATTGGCTTGGGGCAGGGAGGATAGCATGCAGTGGTGAGCTGCAAATCATTGACACTGGCTTTGGGAGGCTTTCTCAATGGCTACAGCTGTACTCCGCATCCTCCAAAGTCCTTACCCCACACCCATGTCATGAAGCCTCAGGTGGAGGAGATGCTCGGGTGAAGGCGGTAGAAAGAGCACTTCTTGGCATGAATACTGAAAGGATTTCTCCAGACGTGTGGTAACAACAGAAGTAGTTTTGTCTATGCTCAGCAGGCAGTATGCAGTCAACAAGTATTTGTTGATTACTTGCTTGATTTTGTTTTCGTTTTCCCAATTTCCTTGAAAATCTTTAGGAATCTAGTTCTTGGTCGTGGAAGAGGTATGGCAGGGAAGAGGTGAGCTGCGGAATTAGATAATATTTTATAGTTTGACTTTTATATTTCTGCTATATTGTGTGGCAATATGGCTTCATGAGAGAGGATGGTCTTCAGAGTTTGATGGACTTGGCTTCAGACCTTCATGGTGCTGTTAGTCAGGATAAGCTAAACTCTCACCGGATTAACACAGGGAAGGTTTATTTCATCCAAGTCATAGTTCAGTGTAGGTGGCAGCGGGCAGGGTGAAGGGTGCTCTGCTCCATGTAATCATTCAGGGACCAAGCTCTCCCCATCTTCATCACATGGCTTCGTGGTGCCCTGGGTCATCCAGATAGGGATGATGGAAAAGGGGATGACGGATCGAGGTTTTTATGGATCAGGCCTGAAAGTGACAAAAATCACTTCTGTGCCCGTTTCATTGCCAGAACTCAGTGACATGGCCAGCCTCAAAGCAAGAGGGCTGGAAAATGTAGTTTAACATGTGCCTAGAAAGAAAATGAGAAAATGGACACTAATGAGTAATAGAAGGCTCTGTCACAACATTTATCAGCTGTGTAACCTTGGGCAAATGACTTAAACTCTCTCAACCTTAGTTTCCTCATCTGTACCATGGGAATGATACACATGTAGTGGGACTGTTGTAAGACTTAAAGGATGCAATATACATAACATGCTTGATTATGTTAGGACACAGTATGTCCTTCCCTTTTAGATATACAAATGAGCACTTTTTTCCTTCCTCTGGGAAACCCCAAATACTGACTAGCTGAAAGTTGGCCCTCTACAAACTTTCTGTCTAGTTAGGGGAACATGGATTAATATATATTGCTCCTTGTCACCTGGAGATGGAGGGTTCAGTTTGGGTGTTCTCCTCTCGGGCAAGTGGTGAGGTGGTCCCGGAATCCCTGGGAAGTTGGTCTTAAGGTCTTTTTTGGGGCACGTGTTAAGGGTTTGCTGGACTATGACCTTAATAGCCAGGAGCAGCCGTTCTCAAGTTACCTGGAGGAAAGAACCACAAGAACATGGCTTCCATAGGAGCTCCAAGTATTTGTGATGATATAGGTAAAAGTGTTCTGATCAAAGAGTAGACTGTTGAAAAGATTTTGGAAAAATCTTTTCTTCTCTTGAAATCTTTAAGGAAAGGTCAGTTTTTACCTTTTGCAGTTACTCAGCATATCTCAGTTTAGGGTCAGAAGAATAGGCTCTTGCTTCTGGGGCTGCCTTCCTCTCTCCTGTCCTCTCTCAGAGTGGTCCTTTTCTCCTTCCTCCTGGAAACAAGGTGTCTAAGCCTTTGTGCCTGAGTTGACCCACCCCAGAGCTATCCTTGGAGGCCTTCTTTAGAGGAACACCCACACCACCTAGCCTCCTGGCTAGGTTCCAGAACATTCTTGACCAGTCATACCCTCTTGACCAGACATACTCAATGAGGGACAAGAGGGTCAATGTACAAGGTGCAATGGAGGAGGAGAACAGCAGAGTGTAGTCATGGGAAGTGGGTTATAGATAAAATGCCCTTGTTTCTAAAGATGGAGTAAGGCCCCGGGTGCTCTGCCCTCCAGTGCTTCCACTGTAGGTGGTTTTGGCAGGGCATGGAGCTGTACCAGAGCTCGGAGCCAAGAGACGAGAAAGGGAGAAGGCTTGGCGGCCAGATGCTTTCTCTTCCTCTGACTTCTGTTGGCTCACTTAGAAGCAACATGGAACTTAGACTATGCTCCTTCCTCTGAATGGTTTCCAGTCACATCCCTCCCCAACCCCAACTGGAGGCCACTCTATTTTTAAATTTCTCTTGGGAAGTAGATTCCAAAGATTCCCTAAGTATTCCCATCAGGGCAGCCTCTGATTTCCAGTAAATCCAGGGTCACATAGTTTTCTATATTCTTTAGCATTCAGTTTGCATAAATTAGCATGCCACCAAATCCTGGACTCTGAGTCAAAGCAACCCAGGGACTTAATGCAAATGGGCTCCAGCTTTTGTGTCCCTGGGAGATGGCTGAGGAAGGCAGTCTCAGCCTTGGAGAGAGGCAGCCGTGACATGTGAGCAAGAGGTCCCATCATCTGCTTGGCTGGCAGATCCCCACCCTGGGCACAATGAGAACTCTATCGGGAGTCCTCTGTTTTCTGGAGCCTGAAGCTTCACCCTTGATGTGTTGGCACCTATGAGAGGGGATTTGAGTCATGTGGTGGGTGTGGGGGGTTGGGTTCAGTGGCACAGGAGCTGGATGAGGAGGGATCCTCAGACCTGAATAAAAGTCAGAAAGGAGCGAAGCTGGGAGCAGGGGTGGAAGGAGGGAGGACAAAGAGTTTCCCTGAAGACTGAGACAGCCCATGGAGAGGGCAGCCCTGGGGTAGGGAAAGGACAGAGGGGAGAGGTAAGAAGGAGCAAGAGTGGGCAGGAAGTACAGGCGAGTTGGTGGGCAAGCACTGAATGGCCAGTTAGAATGGAGAGTGGGCACGTGTTATCTAGGGAGCTAGTGACCAAAGTTAGAGAGTGTGTCACCAGGTGAGTTCCCGGGGGCCACTCCTTTCCTCTCTTGCCAGGTGTTAGGCTGGGGTTTCTTGCTGGGGCCTAGAAAGTCATCTCTTGGGCTGGCCCCGTGGCTGAGTGGTTAAGGTCGCGCGCTCCGCTGCAGGCGGCCCAGTGTTTCGTTGGTTCGGATCCTGGGCTCTGACATGGCACTGCTCGTCAAACCACGCTGAGGCGGCGTCCCACATACCACAACTAGAAGGACCCACAACGAAGAATACACAACTATGTACCGGGGGAGCTTTGGGGAGAAAAAAGGAAAAGAATAAAATCTTTAAAAAAAAAAAAAAAAAAAGAAAGTCATCTCTTGGGTGTGTCCAGGGACTATCTGAGGTGTCACAGCCTGAAAGTGCAGATAGATTTTAAAGTGGGATGGGGCTTTGGGTTGTTTCTCCGAGAAGAAGGAACAGGCCACTCCGCCCACGCATGCAGCTCCTTCCTCCAACGGCCAGGCTCTCCTGAGCCTGAGTGAAAGGCGCTGCCTGTGGCAGAGGAGTAGAAGGAAATGGAGTGGTCCCCATAGCCGGGGGAGAGACGGTGCCCAGCATTCTAAGCCACAGTTTATTGACTGCTGGCTATAGGCTGGCTACTGGCCACAGTGGAGGGTCAGATAACTTCTAAGGCCATGCTTTCTGTGAAGTCAGCCCACGGTCAGGAATGTCAGCTCCAGTGTCAGAACCCTTGGGTTTTAATCCTGGCTCCATCACTGAGGGCCTTGGGTAAGTTATTTGAAGTCGTCTGTGCCTCAGTTTCTTCATCTGTAAAATGGGAATAATAATGCCTACTTCCTAGAGTTGTGGAGATAGAACTAAACACAATAACCCCTACAGAGTTGTTAGAACAGAGGCTGCCAGAGAGGAAGTACTGAATTGATACTACCATGATTGCATGTGGCAGCCCCAAATACAGTGCAATGGCAAGACTGGAGAACTTGGAGAGAAACACAGCGTGGGCTCCCAGTTTGTTGGCTCTGTGCTCAGTGTGGCAGCTGCTCTTAGAGTTTGAGCTGATGCAGCCACAGGGGCAGGCCGTGTGGACGAGGGCCAGACGTGGGCACTGGCCAACCACAGTCTGGGAAATGACACTGTTGGCTGATAATGTTTCCCTTTTATTCTCCCCAGGAGGGGCGTACAAAGGAAAAGAAATTGCTCCCTTATTTGTTTGGCAGGAAGAAACACATGGGCTGGAGGGAGGGGCTCCAGCAAGAAGAAAGGCATAGGAGCCTTCATGATTTGTTTCTATCACACCCAATAGGGGGCCCTTGGGGAGGGTCTGTTAGTCTGGCATCTGTGGGCAAGGAGGGACTAAAAATCATTAGTGGTGTCTCTCCATGTCCTGGGCCTCCCCTCTGTTAGAGCTGGCGGAGGCTGCTGGAAGGAGGGGAGCAGGGGACGTTGGGAAGGATGGAGTGTGCCTGGATGCGAGGAATGACAGGTGGACGACTGCAGGTCTTTATAACAAGCATTTATGGAGCCCGTAGTATGTGCCAAGCTCTGCGCTACACCTGGGGACCCAGAAACAATAAGACATGGCTGTTCCGCTAAAGGAGGCTACAAGCTATACCAATTAAAACAATTATTTCAGTCCTCCACAGATGCCATTTCTCCCCCTGCCCCGGGCACACAGACGGCCTTGGGGTCTCTCACTCTTGGCTCAAGGTGACTTCCCTGACAGCAATCCCATGTCACACTCTCAGCTTATCACTGATTTGCAGAGCTGCTATCTTGTGGCTCAAAGCACTGAGCTGGTGGACCACAAAAAGTTCTGAGAGGCTTCTTAGCGGGCTGTTCTGTGCATCGTTAACTATTCAGAGCCCAGAGCCACGTGCCAGGTGCCTGCGTTTCCTCCAGCCCTTGGTCTTCCCTCAAGATCCAGCCCCTGATGCTGTGGGATGTCTGACGGCCCAGCCTGGGATCCGCACTCTGGTCCCTGGCCTCCTCCTGTTTGGAGTTGTTATCAGAGGAAACAGACTTTAACATAACAAAGTCCTTGTCTCTTGGGCCTGCCCATAGAGTTGTATCTTTTTGCCCTTTGTCACCTCAGATTCATCCTCAGCCTAACTTCCATCACCATTAGCCTAATTCACCATCCCAGGATGCCCAGAAAATTTCAAAACTGGCCCGTAGGCTGCTATTTGGCGTTAGAGTTCAGAGACATCTTCGACTTCAGGATCAAAAAGGAGCTACTTATGTCTGGGGTGCAGTAAGATGGTTGGAGGGGGGCTGGTTGCACTGATCCCAACCTGCTCCAGCCACAAGTCCCCTCATCCATCTCTAAGCCTGGGACCCAGGCCAGGGCTGGGCCAGGCCTCTCTGGGCACAGAAGCCTGCCAGCATTGGTTTCACTCCTTGACAGAGAGGCCAAAAGGACATTGCAATGTTGAGGCAATGAACATGAAAGACAAGCAAGTGGCTTTAGTGCCGGGAAGTCAGAAATGGAAGGTCAGTGATGGCATTCTTTGAGACTCACTGTAGACTATGTTCTGTGCTCTGCTAGCCAGAACTCTACTATTTACTTGAAGTAGGACCTGGGGAAAATCCCTCTCTTCTGTAGACCTCAACTTCCTCATATGTAAAGTGCATCTGGGATTAGTCAAGAACCTTTGGGCCTGACATGCCATGATTCTGGATGTCCCAGTAATCTGTCGCCCAGAGGACAGAGAGCTTGAAGATATGTGGGGAGAGATGGGGAGGAAGAAAAGCCCAGTGGGAGTCCTGGTGAGTTTAGTTAACTGAAAGGGAGGAGGAAGAAAAGGGAATAAGAAAGTAAAGTGAAAAGACGGAAGACCCTAAGCGGGGAAGATAAGGCAAGAGAAAGTGTGAAAGAGAGGGGTGGCCACCACAATTACTTCAGGGCTCCTCAGATACATCCTAGCCATGTTTACTTTGTTAGGATGGGGGTGGGGGGTGGGGAATTTTCTTTTCCAAAGAGGGCCATGATAATGCTGCCACCCCATGCTCTTTCACGATGTGATCTTGCCATTTCCCTATCAAGCCGTCGAGTCTAGGTCCTCTCCCTTTAAAGGTGGGCTGGCCTTATGACCTGCTTTTAACCGTAGAATGTGGTAGAAGTTATACTGGGTGACTTCTGAGGCTCAGTCAGAAGCAGTTTCTACTCGGTTATGTTGGGATACTTGCTCTGAGAGAAGCCAATCTGACTCTCTGAGGCTATCATGCTGGAGAGGCCACAAGTAGGCATTCCTGTTGATAATCCCAGCTGAATCCCCATTCTAGCCATTTCCCTCAAGGCACCAGACATGTGAATCAGACTCCTGATCAACCTCACTTGTTACCACGAGGAGCAGAAGAATTGCCCAGCTGAGCCCTGTCCAAATTCCTGATTTAGAGGAATCTATGAGATATAAGAAAATGACTGCTTTTTTTTTTTTTTTTTTTTTTTTTGCTGAGGAAGATTTGCCCTGAGCTAACATCTGTGCCAATCTTCCTTTATTTTGTACGTGGGTCACATGGCTGACGAGTGGTGTAGGTCTGCACCTTGGATCTGAACCTGTGAACTTGGGCCACCAAAGCAGACCGTGTCAAACTTAATGACTATGCCACGGGGCTGCCCCCAAATGACTCTGCTGTTTTAAGTCATAAAGTTTTGGTTTGTTATAAAGCAAAAGGTACTGGAAGAGGGTGACAGGAAAGGTTTAAAAATATAACCCCCCTTGCATGGAAAAATGCTTACAAATGTATAAACAAGACTTAAGATTTCAGAGATGTATGAGA